ACATCGTGAATTCTGTGGTTGTGAGGTGAATTCCCTATCACAATCTTATAAATTGTTCGACATCGAACCTGCACCTTCTCTATGTTTTAAGTTCTCTGATTCAACTTAGTCGAGTTATAAACCGTAATAGGCGTTTGAATACATTAACATTTAATATATTTGTCACAAACTCAGAGTCAAGTGAGATAATCCGTTGACAGTAGTAGGTGCGTTTCTTATAGATAATTTATATCCTGACAATATTAATTGGGTTTTGAAACAGGAGAAAAAATATTGCCAAAATAAATAAGTATTTTATTATCGAATTAAAATATTTTGAAATGAAATCAGAATATGAAACCAAAATATTATAAGCGCTAGCCTGATTTGAGTAAGACCGAGTTCATGTCGAAATTTTGTGAAATTTTATTAAGAAGAGTTATATAGTATAAACGGACTGCTCATTTTGTCATTTCATACATTTCCGCCTATGCAGCTATTACTAATTCAAACAAATTTATTGATATAATACAATCATATAATTAGTTGGAATATTTTTTTGAGTAGTAATAAGTACATAATATAAATTATACCTTTATATATAAGCATAAAAACGAATATAGACATGTACATTGCAGTTAAAGTAATATAAATATATGTATCTACATGGAGCATATTCGGACATTTGTTATGGAAATGTGTATATTAGAATATAAATATGTAGTCCACGTAAATGTCTATATATTAAATGGTTAAAAATATATGCACACAACTGAAATAGATTATAATATACAAATGCATGTATACGTTATTTTCTAATCGAGTGCTTGAATATTTATGATTTAAATGGCCAACGGCGACGTTCTGCGGTTTCCTTCGCTTTATCGACCTTCCAATGATTTGGGTCCATCAGATACTCACTTTAGTGAAATACATAGTGTTATATACATATGTATGTATTTTTTACACATTAGTTTTAGCTTGAACTTAATGTTCTTACCGCTTGTGAGATAATTCCGTCAGAAGTTGTGCCTTTAGATCCGCCAATTTGCCACCATCTCCGCCATATTCCTCTGGCAATATGCTACGAGGCACATGCTCATACAGACTGTCCAAGCTTTCGGTATGGAAATGTATCTTTTCGGATGATAATTATTATGGTTATAGCTACATTTTAAAAGGAAGCTAATTCCAATTTCATTAATTTACCAATTTGAAGACTTCACGACTGATAAACGGTTTCATAATGCTTACTACTTTATCCAAGTAGGATGGACAGTTGATGATATGTATAGCTTTTAGGTGCACGGGTAGTGCCTCTTGTAGGAACGCCATGTAAATACGCAGTGTGCTGAAGGTCATCTTACTCAGATGTTTCAATGTGTAGCCGTTCATGTCGAATATTTGCACTTCACCGCTGGCAAATGTTTCTAAATGTCCCTCGATGGAAACACCACCATCATACATATTGAACCGACAATCAGAGACCATGAAAAATGCTTTAGTATCGGCGTTGTGATTGACCTACCATAATACAAATATACAAAAAATCAAAATATTCTTTAGAATATGTAATATTGCCTAACTAACCTTTCCGGGATCCATATCAACCATGCGATAACAGCTCACTTTGTAGCCCTCTGACGTAAGTCCAGGAAGTGGCACCAAATCTCTGTCAAATAAATGAAAAAAAAAACATGGAAAGTGAGAGCATATAGTACATAAATATAGTATAAAGCAAGAACGGTAGAATCGCGACAAATTCGTATCGCTACATTTTTATACCCTGATCAGGGCATTTAAAGATTGCTAAGATGTTTCTAACTCCAATAAGGAAACGTCTGAGACCCTATAAAATATATACAAATCTATATCATTGATCAACATGGCGAGCTAAGCCGATTGAGCCAAGCCCGTCTGTATCTAATTTTCTCACCAAGAAGTTTCCCATTTGTTGGAACCGCAGATATCGGACTACTATAGCAGATAACTGTCATACAAACTGAACGATCCGAATCAAGTGCTTGTAATGAAAGCTTTTTCATTTGACGAGATATCTTCAAGAAATTTGGCATGGGTTAGTGTCCAAGGCACCGGTGTTATCTCCGAAGAAATTGTTCAGATCGAGTCACATTAGCGGATATCTGTCATACAAATTTACCGATCGAAACCAAGGGTATTTTTTATATCGAACTAAACAAGGATGGCAAAGCTTTGTTTAAAATTACTATGAAATTTTGATAGACCGTTTCGTTTATGATGTGTCGACATTTTTTTTCTATTATCCATGATATGTAGTATGTTTTTAATGGTACTAACGCATAGTCGAATGTTTGCTTGCTATCCGCATCGGTTGGGTCACGTTCGAGGAAAATGTGTGGGTGCTTATTCCGTAAACTGTAGTTAATTTGTATAAGCTTTTTGGTGGCTTTTAAGTCACCATACATGCATCTATAGAAGCGTTTCAAAAGTATGCGATCTGAAAATAGTTAAAATATTTTGATAATTTAAAATCAGTTTTTCCTTTAAACCAAATTACATGTCTTTTATAAATACAATAACCCCAAGTTTCATAAAAACATTTCTTTCCTATTCTCTTTGACAGAAAAATATCTTAGTTTATGTCCTAATAAATGAAAGAAAGATTTTAACAATTAATAATTTTAACGGTATATTGGTTTGTTTCGAGTTGGATTCGATTCAATAATCCCTTGAGGAAGTTGCAAAACAAAATCTAGTATGTGTGTTATGATGTTCGGCTACAACGGCACTGAGAACCTCACTTAATATAAGAATTCTGGTTATAGATTTCATCATTTTTGATTTTCGCACCTATATAAAGTCAGTGTATGTGAAACTCGGAATTTGTTCGGGAATCTGAACCAAAAATACCACGTCTCATCAACTGTGAAGTTTTAATGATTTACAAGGTAGTTTCAAAGTAAACGGGACTTTTTCAATCTAGCGCCCGCTAGTGGCGTTATGTATATGTCGATTGGTGCGTTAGAATCTTTATCGATTATCCAGTGAGAATTTCATGACATTTCATTGATTGGAAGTGAAGTTGTTGCGTTTTAAGTGTCAGTATGTTTGTGTTATCGGTGCAAAAATGAGCTTCGAACAAAGAACTAACATTAAATTTTGATTTAAAATTAGTAAAATTTTTATTGAAACGCTTCAATTGATGAAACAAGTTTATGGCGATGATTGCCTATCCCGTAGTAGAGAGCACAAGTGGTTTCAACGTTTTAACAGTGGTCGTGAGGTCATATGTAAATGACGATCAACATGTGGGCCAATCAAAATCCGTGATCACCGGAAATTCCATCGAAACTGTGAGTAAATTGATCAAAAATCAGCCGATATCATCATTGAAATTTGTGGAAATGAATTTTGGGCTTACAACAGGTGTGCGCATGGTTTGTTCAGCATAAATTGACTGACGACCAGAAATTGCTCAGAATCCTCCAACATTCTAAGGACGATTATTTGACCAAAAAACACATTTTAACCATTGACCACTAACGTATTCACCTGATATGACACCGTGCGACTTCTTCCTTTTCGGCCCATGAAAGGAAAGCGTTATGCAGACGTAGAGGCTATTCAAAAGGCTTGCACCGGCGAACTGGCGACCATACCGGTCAACGAGCTAAAACACTCGTTCGACATGCTTTTGGACCGTGCAGAAAGCTGTACTGAAGGAAAAGGAGAATATTTTGAATAAAATAAATTTATTTTATCGAAAAAAACTATTTGTTCTGTTTTTTTAAGTCCGGTTTACTTTGGAAGCCACCTTATAATTAGATACTTAAACCTATCAAAACATAAAGCAGTGTTTTTGTTATCGCCGAATTTATTCAACAAAGATGTCACATAAAATTTCTGGTGCTGAAAAGCTTAGAATGTTGGCAAAGGCAATAAGTTATAAGTGTTTGTGGTATTTTTGATTGGTATAAATTATTGAAAGAGGGCCGCGAACGCGTTAACGACGAACTACGTCCAGGACGGCCACCAATATCAACTGATGATCAACACGTCAATGAAATAAAAGAATTGGTAGTGAGAATCTCTGACTCACAGTCAGAGGAAACCTCGAAGAACCATTAAATTATATATTTAAATGATCAATGTGAAGAGCTGAGTCTATTTACCTATGATCATCGTACCGTCTATTCTTACGTATAGACGCGACATAGTATCTCAGTTTTTGAGATATCGACCTGTTTTTGCACACTTCCTGTTCTCATCAGGAAGCACTCATTTATTTTTATGCAGGGTATTGTAGCTTCGGTGCAATCGAAGTTAACGTTTTTTCTTTGATTTACATACGTCCATATGAAGATTTATCGTTTTATTATTTTCAAAACCAAAATAAAATTGCTCATAATATTTACTTTGACTTAGGCACCTTATACGGGTTCACTGTGAATGATAAGTCAAAATAATATAGTAATTACTTTGACAGAACACGTAACGGTAGTTAACAGTTAATTTCAAATATGGAACGTTCTATAGTAAACGTAATGATGTTATTACGATTGACGGATATGCGTAAGAATTTTGTTATTCAGTTCGAATATCGAGAATACTTAAATCACTTCCACTTTTTAACAAAATTTCTGAAAACAATTCTGTGAATTTATGGAATTCACTTTCAGATATGCGTTAGAAATTACAATTTATATAATTTTAATAAAAAAGAATGTCTATATATAATTAATCAGCTCTGCCGTAAGCCTTAGCACTCACCAATTTCCTTAGGTAACTTTGGATTTTGTTGAAACCACTCATACAATTCATCAATTTCAGCTTCTTCTGCCGCGTCAAATTTCATTTTGTTTGTAATAAGTGATTTTCAAACTTTAAAAATTAATATTTTCTTTTTTTTTTACTTTACATATGCAATTATCATTTATATCAAAAATCCTTGATTTTGTAACTTTAAGTTCCGCGTAAATATTTTCACTTTCATTTGCTGTATTGGAGAGCTCTGAAGTCAGTCTCCTACTGAGCTGGATGGCACAAGCTGCAAATTATTATTATTATTCGTTTGCGTTTATTTTCTATTTATGTTTTCGCTACTCGCTACTGATTTATAGTCGCCTGTATATGATTATAAATAAAAGTGTGCAATTTCCATGTACCTACGCCGCCTTTCCGTTTTGTGCTTGTTTGTTGCGTTCCATGCTACAATTGTGGAATCAATGCTTGGCGCTTGACGAAAAAAAAAAACGCTTGCGTTGTTCAGCTTGAGTTGCTGTGCGCGTAAAATTCGGTGCAACGGCCGTTATGCTGCGCCAGTATTTCCTAAACTTTTGAGCTAATGCTTTTTTATGGTATCGGTTTTTTATTTTTTTTGTTTTTAAGCATATCGGTATTAATTCCTAAATAGTTTTAAGATTTTGGAAAAAAAAGTAAATTCGGTTACTTAGAACATACATTAACTTACCATTCGTTATTTCATATTATCCTAATTTAACTCAAGTAGATACATATATGTACATAGATTGTTCAAAATAGATTTCTGTAGCGTCCCCCAGATAAATTCTCAGAGATATTTTTAAGAGTTATTCTCAATCATGGTAGTTTAGTATTTCGAACATAGCTCCCATTGCTAGTCGCAAATTATCGTTTTGAATCTCTACCAGAGTTCTCTCTGATTATATTCAAAATCCTGTTCGACACCACAGAATAATACTATATAAATGTATATGTATATCATTATTCCACTAAAATATTTATGTATTTTTATAGTATAGTACGAGTATATATAAGAAAAATATACGTATATTTTACACTAAAAGCAGGATACTCTTCCGGTGAGGCTTCTCTAGTTTTTTATATCTTTTGTTCTTTTGGATTTTACCATTCGGTTTTGAGATATCTATCCGAAATTTCGTACACATCTTTTTCTCCCAAGAAGCTACTCATTTGTCTAAACCGTCGACGTCGGACCAGAGAACTTAAAACATAGAGAAGGTGCAGGTTCGATGTCGAACA